AGGGAGGTGGTGGAACCTCCATCCTTAGAGGTGTTTAAGGCCCTGGCTGGGATGATTTGACAAAGCCCTGGCTGGGATGATTTAGTTGGGGATTGGTCCTGCTTTGAGCAGGGGGTTGGACTAGATGACCTCCTGAGGTCCCTTCCAACCCTGATCTTCTGTGATTCTATGATTTACACGACCTTATGGAAACATTTTCAAAAGAAAGGGCTTTAAAGAATGTGCCACTGACCCTGCAGGCCCTCCAGGTGTGAATCCAGAGTTAGCCGAGGTTCCCCGGCATCCCCCAGAAGGTGCTCGGCACCTTGTATGATCAGAACCTAAGTTCTTCAAGGAGCTTTGGTATCTTTCAAGGTGAAAAACACCATATACCGTGAGAAAGCTCTGGCGTGGTAGCTGCAGTCCTTGTCATTCTGGTTATTTTTCGTAAGGAGGAAAGAAACGAGTAACTGTCCGCATAACTCAAGGGATAAACTCCGGGGGATGTGTGAGGAGCATACTGAGCCAGATCTGTCTGCCTACTGATTTGTCTTAGGATTTGATAGCGCCGCTCCGGTAGCAGAGCACCTTCCAAATAGAATCAATAGCAACAGCAAAGTCCCTAATGGACTTCACAGAGTCTCTGGCTCGTCCCCCAGACCCCAGGCTGGCATACATCTGCTTAGCAACATGGAATGCAGTGGCCAAGTTACCCCAGAAAAGGTTCTGGCCCACAACACTCCTGGGCAGTCACTACTTGGAAGGCATCAACAAATTGCCGTGAATCGACAGGAATTACTTGGCGGAACCAACTTCCAAGGAAGGGAGGTAGGGTGAGGGCTGGGAGGGTTTACACACGGGGGAGGGAGAGGAATTCATTCTCAGCTGAACACGGGTGTAGCTAGGAGTCATGGGGAAAAACAAGCCTTTGGATGTAAGCCCACTTCTTCCACTAGTCCACAGCGCCGCTCCCCGCTTCACTTCAGATCCATCTTAAGACCCACTGCTACCGTGATGCCTACAGGAAACTGGCGACTGATAACGGCGACGTAGAAAACCGGTCAAATTTGCTGCTATATCTGGGCCCTGAATCAGCAAAGCATTCAAGCAGAGGACTTCAACGGGGACTTAAACATGTGCTGATGCACTTTGATAAGCTGGGGGCGTATTAATTTACACACATCCTACATTTAAATGTCTCAGAACCGTTAAGGCATGCCCCCGGCTATCCTATATAACCACTGATTCTTAGCACTGTTACCCACCCGCTCCCACCCCAACTACCCACTCTCATTTGTTATACCCTCTTCCTGTGTCTTGTCTTAAATCAGATTGAAGTAGGGGTGGTGTCTCCTTACATGTTTATATAGCACCCAGCCCTCGTCTAGTTCTTCGGAGCCTACTGCTATAGAAGAATCACACAATATGAAGGGGAAGTCGAGGAAGAACACTCAGGGTGAGTATTAGGGGTATTTTCTATGGGTGAGATCCATTAGTCTGCGGAGTTATCTCCCAAGGGAAGTAGCAGAAAGCTCATTGTTTAAAACAAAACTAGCCCAAGTCCTGAAGGAAAGTCTGTAGGAACCGATTTTGCATTGGCAGAGGAAGGAGGAAGATGATTCAATGGAGCTTTATGCATCTCTACCTTTGATAATTCAATACGCTATTACAAGCAGAGACCAGCCTTAAGCAAACCTCTTCATTTGATTTTCCCTGAATTTTAAGGTGAATATTTGCAATCCGGATCTGAATTTTGCATTCCGAGGTCCATCTCTCAATGGGGAGCTCAGGGTTCTAACAGAGCGTGTAGCCCCGGGACAAACAAAGGAGCGAAAAGCCAATGCCGGCATTCTTCTCTGCAGTGCTCTCAGCTCAAACGCCACCTCCAGGAGGCCTGGGCGCAGGTGGCTTTTAGCTGCTTAGAATTTGCTGTCCGACCGTTTTGATTTAAATTCCGCTTTCCATGGCTGTATTTAAAGATCAGTGCATGGGTTTTTACAGCAGCCGTAATGAACCCGGAGTTCAAACAGCACATGGCGAGATCAAAAATTGCAGGAGTGGAATGTGTCCTGCAAACACAAAGCATGGCTTTTCATTCGTTATTTTTGCCTTTACAGAGCTATTTTACAAGCTGTTTATTTTCTGATACAGTGTTGGCAGACATGCGGCCGGAGGAGAATCAATATCAGCACAGTGGGATGTATTTTCTTAAAGGGTTTAGCGGGGGGGCTTTGCTTTTTCAAAGGGGATAATTGAATGTGCTACACACCGTACTTTTGATTTGTTTAACATGAAGCGTGAAATGGGTAGAGCTGTGATTCTGTCGATCAGCGATTCGCATTGAAACTGGGCACTTTCACGGGGGGGAGGGAGCGGGTGGCTAGCTCAGGGGATTGGTAATGGAACTAAGGAGTCTTTCACACCAAAGCACTGGCTCCAATCCATCTAACTCCAGAAAGTTCTCTTGCTGTGAAAGAAATTGGGAGAGCGGCTCCTAATCTAGCTCACAGCCAGGCAAATAACCACACCCCAATAAGCTTTCTTAGGCAGAGAGACCAATGGCTGAATGCACAAGGAGACCAAGTTCTTAGTGGCAGGGCAGCGTGATGGAGACAAGAACTCCTGTGGGGGGATTAATTCAGTATTGGAGTTTGTAACTGTAACACCGACAGACCCCGGTTGTCGGCAGGTGGGATCGAACCTGGGACCTCAAGAGCTAAATGCACGAGCCTCCACCACATGAGCTAAAAGCCATATGGCTGTAGAACAGACTCATGAATATCTCTCTCTAAGTGGTCTCGGCACCACTAGATGGGACAGACACCACAACCAGGTGGTGTGTGGGGTTACATTTCTTCCCCTAGCTGAGGAAACACGTCCCGAGCTTCAGAGACTTCCCAGTGGAAATCCCGGATGAGCCCCCACTTATAATGCCTACAGATCCCTGTCATCGGCAGGGGGGATCAAACCTGGGACCTCTGGATATTAGTGCATGAGCCTCCACCACATGAGCTAAAAGCCATATGGCCCTTAGCTAAGGCTGTAGCAGACTCATTAATCTCTCACTAAGTGGTCTCGGCACCACTACATGGGACAGAACACCACACCCAGGAGGTGTGCGGGTTACATGATGATACCCCAAAGCAAGCCAAATCCTGACGAGAGAGATGGGACCCACTTTAAAAAAAAACCTTCTGGGGAGAACTGGGGTAGGGGATTTGGGGCAAAGTAGACTAGATCTCACCCTGGCCCCCCCAAGTATTCCTGGATATTCTGCCTACATTTTCCTTAATTTAATCCCAACCTGTCTAGCTCTACCCATCCACACACCCACAACTGCCCCTAGGCTTCCCTGACACCTATCCCCTTCCAATATCTGTAGGTTCTTCCCTCCCTTCGTTTTTGCCTAGCCACGTTATGAAGACAATTGACTATTTGTAGCTTGATCAGCAGCGCAGCGCTGAGGACTGTCATTGTATATTTGGCCCCAATTCAGGATATGTGATGACAATTTCCTCCTGTCTGGGTTCACTGCTACAGCTGGACACACATGAAGTAAGTCGAGTGCCCTCTGAAGGTCTGTTAGATCCCCCTGGTGGCTGTCTTTTACTAGCAATTTGCTGCCTCCTATGTCCAGAACCCCTTCTCCAGTCAGTCCATCTAACCCAACGGTTCTCAAACTGTGGGTCGTGACCCCAAGCCGTGTAACCGGCTCAGGTTACAGGCCCCCTGCCTGGGGCTGAAGCCCTTGGGTTTCAGCTTTGGACCCCCTGCCTGGAGCAGTGGGGTCAGGCTTTGCCCCCCCCACCCAGGGCAGTGGGGCTCGAGCAAGCTCAGGCTTCTGTCCCCCCTCCTGGGGTCATGTAGTCATTTTTGTTGTCAGAAGGGGGTCACGGTACAATGACGTTTGAGAACCACTGCTCTAACCCCTTAACCACTGCTGTTGTGTAACCCACTGATTCATCGATTCGAAGGCCAGCAGGGACCACTGTGATCACCTGACCTCCTGCACAGCACAGGCCATAGGGCTTCCTTGAATTAGTTACTGTTTGAACCAGAGCAGGACACCTAGAAAAACATCGCATCTTGATTTTAAAATGCCAGTCATGGAGACTCCACCACGGCCCTTGGTAATTTTTCCATGTTAATTACCCTCTAATTACTGGTCAACTTTCTACTCACACAAAACCCAACAGCCTTGCCCCAAAGGTTTCCAGCCAATGGGAGCTGTGGGGGCGGCGCTTGGGGCAGAATGCGAAGCCCCCTGGCTGCCCCTACGCATAGGAGCCGGAGGCGGGACATGCCGGCTGCTTCCCAGCAGCCGCGCGGAGGCTAGCAGGGAGCCTGCCTTAGCCCTGCTGGATGGCACCACCAACCGGACAGTCAATGGAGCTGGTAGGATCCCTTTTCAACTGGGTACTCCAGTCGAAAACCGGACCCTGGTCACCCCAGTCAATGTGTGCCTGGTCCAGAGAAGCTGAGAGTCTGTTACAGCTCGCAGCTTGAGAAGCTTGCACTTCGGTTCAAGCTGCAGAGACTCCTGCTCTTAGAGGTCCCTTGTTCAATCCCAGCGTTGGCAAAGATAACGGCCGTCACAGTTGCTCTTCTCTGAGTATCCTCCTATTTGACTCTGTCGTGATGGGAAGAAGAGTCACTCTTAACAATGCCTTTAAGTAATTTTCACAGGAAGATGAATGTTTCCTGGATGTATAAAACCTACCAAATCCTCCCTTCACCCCCATCGTTCCCATGTAAAAACAGATCGATGGCAGGCATATCATTGTATAACTTCAGTGTGTTGTTTGCTGGGTAGAACAAGCACATGTTGTTTGTGGTACTGTTGTAGCCGTGTTTGTTCCAGGATAGGAGCAAGACAAGGTGTGTGAGGTAATATCTTTTACTGGACCACATTTTTGAGCTTTTCTCTTTCAGCAACAAAAGTTGGTCCATCCACCTTGTCTCTAACAAGAAGTATAGTCAGTCCCCCAGGGACTATAACTAGGCGGATGTAAGAGGCTCACCTTTTTAGCAATGTGACAGACTTGCTCAGCGGGAAGGTAGTCAAAGGGGAAGACGAATCTCCAGTTGAAATTCCCTTCGCCTCCCATAGACCGGTAATGCACATCGGTCTTCTGTTTGTTCTCCTCGTGGCCAATCATCCAGCTGCAAAATACAAAGGCACTGAGTAATGAAATGAAAACAGGATGTTTGAGCAACTCACTCAAAACTGACAGGTGCAAATATAAAGATGACTGAAGGAACGATGATTGGCATATTGCCCATTGGTTGCCTATTGGTTTCCAACTGATTTTAAGATGTTGTTTTTTACCTACTAAGTCCTAAATGACCTGGGACCTACCTACATAAGGGAGCCTAACTTTAGCTTTGACAGTTTGGGTCAGTCATTTCGAAAGAACTTTCTGTAGGAAATTTGAATACAAAATTATACATTTATTTAGTGCAAAATTTAATACAAAATTAGAAGTAAAAAAAAATCTCTTTGTCATAGAATCATAGACATGTAGGGCTGGAAGGGACCTCAGGAGGTCGTCAAATCCAGCCCCCTGAGCTGAGGCAGGACCAAGTAAGCTTAGGGCACGTCTTTACTACCTGCCGGATCAGCGGGTAGCGATCAATCTATTGGGGGATCGATTTATCGCGTCTGGTGTAGACATGATAAAATCGATCCCTGATCGCTCTGCCGTCGACTCCGGAACTCCACCGCAGCGAGAGGCGGAAGCGGAGTCGGCGGGGGAGCGGCAGCGGTCGACTCGCCGTCGTCCTCACAGCCAGGTAAGTCGACCTAAAATACGCAACTTCAGCTACACTATTCGCGTAGCTGAAGTTGCGTATCTTAGGTCGACTCCCCCCCGTAATGTAGACCTAGCCTTAGATCATCCCCGACAGCTGGTTGTCTAATCTGTTCTTCAGAACCTCCAGTGATATGGGATTCCACAACCTCCCTTGGAAGCCTGTTCCAGAGCTGAACTAACTTTAGAATTAAAACGTTTTTTCCGAATATCCAACCTAAATCTCCCTTGCTGCAGATGAAGCCCATGACTTCTTGTCCTACCTTCAGTGGACATGGAGAACAATTGATCACCGTCCTCTTTGTAACAGCCCTTAATGTATTTGTAGACATATCTGTACTAGTGATAACACAGGACCATCATGCCTGGCACGACGGGGCCCTGGTCTCGGTTGGGGCTCTAGGTGCTTCTTTAATACAGATAATAAATAGCAGCGTAGCTTCTTGCAAACAAAAGGCACTGTTATTTATTTGAGGTATTAGGGCTCTGATTGTGATCTATCTCATCTGCCCACTTATAAGGACCCAGCCCATCACAGTAGCCTCTGAGCTCCAGTTAGGAGGCCAACTAGGAGCCACACATAGTCACTAGTCCGGCTTGTGACAGAGGTGCCTTTGTACAATAGGGCATAGTGCCAAGTCACTTGTGTCTCATGTGTGATTGGCCGCACAGGAACCAGTGTCATGCAGGAATGTTGATTACCCCATCTTGGGAAGACACGGCAAACGATGATTGGGCAAAGCATTTAGCTCATTTACAGCAATGGGTGATCTGTATGTTTGTTGGGAATGATAAAAAAACAGGTGCGTGGGGGGGGGGTTGATCAAACATTAGATATTCCCACTTCCCCAGTGCCACCCCACCCCACTCTGCTAATCCTGAGCTACGTATGGAACCTCTTGGCTGGAATTGACAACAATGAACTTGATGCGAATACCAGGTAAGCAGGGTGCATTTTGGATTTACAGGAGGAAAATTGGGATTGTAAAAAAGGGATTTACAGTCTGTTTCAAAATCCTCCCTCTTCCTGTTCATAAAACCAAGAACGTAGAAAATAAGTAACTCCCTTGGCTGCGATCGCACTATTTTACACAAGATAAAACATAAATGGAGTCAGACAGAGAAGGGAAAACGTGCCAGAGGAGTTACTGCCGGCTGCCACATTTTTGTCCAGGAAAAGGAATTTCAAAAAGGCAGCTATGTAAACAAGACTAACTCTGTATACAATACATGCATAATCCGTGCCACGGATGAGGCTTCAGTTGGGCTGGTATCCAGCAATACAACATACCAGCACCTCTCTCAAGTTGCTATCTTGTCCTTCAGAATCTCAGCTGTTACGGTTGCAAAGAAAACCACAAACATGTGAATTGACTGTAGCTAATGCACTGGTGTTTGCAAAGAGCTTGGAACAACAGCTCGCAGAGGTGTGAACTTGCCCCATTCATCTCAGTGAGGGGTTAACTCAGATGCCCAATGAAGACGATATGAATGTTGCAATAGTTAACTGTTTCCTTGCTGATCTGTAACACATTGACACATCACTAACATAGCCTGAGGTAGCAGGATTGCCTACCCTTTCACGTAGATGTCGCTCATCTTCTCTCCAGTGATGCTGAGGTCATCTAGGATCACGTCTTTGGTGTTCCAGATAATGCAGCGCAAGAAGAACCTGAAATATCCCCCCACACACACCGAGACATCAGAATGGAATAAAAACCATGGTCTAAAATGGAAGGAAGCCAAGGCTATATTTAAAGGCAGCTTGTTTGCAGAACAGCTCAGGTGCAAAAGGTCTGATCCTGTAACTTTCACTCATGTGTGAAATGTCCATGGGTGTAAAGTCACCCAGGAGAGTTTGGGCTAAAGGATGTTTTAGAAGCATATGGCTGTGTGCAATTAGGGCCAGAGAATGCTCCAAGCACTCATATCTCCTCTGAATGTGCGTAACCATAGGCGCTGACTCCATGGGTGCTCCAGGGGAAAATTGGGGGGTGCTCTGCACCCACCGGCAGCTCCCCGACCCACACCTCTGCCTCAGCTCACCTCCGCCTCCACCTCCTCCCCTGAGCACGCTGCCAAGTCCTGCTTCTCCCCCTTCCCTCCCAGGGCTTGCGCCGCGAAACAGCTGTTTTGCATGGCAAGCCTGAGAGGGAGGGGGGAGGAGGAGGAAAGCGGCGTGCTTGGGGAAGAGGCGGGGCCAGGGCGGGGATTTGGGTAGGGATCCAATGGGGCAGGGAGGGGGCGGAGTCAGGGCGGGGCTGGGGGGGCATGAGCACCCACCGGCGCCAACAAAAGTTGGCGCCTGTGCGCAGCGTAACTATTCCCTAGGCAGAAGGTGCAAGGAGCCACTATTTCTTTGTGTAAGTGACCAGATCACGTGGTCTGTTCCATCAGCATCCCAGACAGAGAGCTCACGCACCAACAAGAATCAAGTCACCTTTTTGCTCGGCGCGGCGTGATATTGAATGGAGGTCCAGGCAGACCCAGAGACTTCGGAAACAAGTCTACCCACATCTGAAGCTTTCCCTGTAATGAAACAAACTGCTGTGAGGTCTAGGAACTGGGTTAACATCACTCGCCTTGTTCGATGTGTTCATGGAAATAGCGACTCGAAACAATGACAGAGCTCAAAGGCAGGAGATTTATTTTTGACAATGGCAAGGAGCCAACAAATTTCAGCAAACCGATCTGGGAGCTGAAGCAAAGTACCCTCCCGGGGAGCACATATGGGGTACGAAACGGCTCTTTAATTTAATGGAGAGAGGCCGAACAAGAGCCGTCTAGCTTAGCTTCCAGCCATTGAATTCTGATTAGAAAGAAGACCCCCATTTTGAAGTAAGGGTGGTTAACCATTGGAACAAACTACCAAGGAAAGTGATGGATTCTCCCTCCATCTCTCGATGTCTTCAAATCAAGACTGGATCTCTTTCTGGACGATACTTGTTAGCCAAACACAAGTTACTGCGTTCAATACACGGGTATCGGGGTGAAATGTATGAGCCTGGGATACAGAGGAGGTCAAAGTAGTTGATCTAATGGTGTGTTCTGGCCTTAAACTCTATGACTGAATCTACCTACATGGGGCCAGATGCTCTGCTGGTGTCAAAGGGTGTAGTAGCTTCATTGACTCAATGGTGCTACACTGATTGACACTGGCTGGGGATCTGGCCCGTTACTTTTTGATGTTGTTGGGAATGGGTGCAAGGAAGAATCTAGGGACATCTGACTCCATTTTCTGGTTGCTTTATATTCCTGTGCTGCAGAGATCCTACTGAGATCTGCTGAGAGGTTTGTTTTTCTTTTCTTTTTTTAAGATTGTCACTTTTACTGTTAAATACCAGTGGGTGGTGATAAAGATATACTTTCTGTGCAGTGTCAAGGGCATAAAACTTATTGACTTTGAAAATCAGCCCATCACAAATGGCTTTTTTTTTTTTTTTTTTTTTTTGGAAAAAAAACTTTTTCCCACAAAGAAAAAACAAAAAACTTTGGGCAGGCCCCCCCTCCCCCCCTACAAACTAT